CCTCTGCAGATGATCTGTTAGCTGTTTGACAACTACTCTAAATTAATACCAATGGTACTGAAAGTAGGTGTAGATAATGTTACATCTAATTTTATGACTCAAGTCACATTTCATAAATCACAAGTTCAGTTCTGACACAAAGTTTTGCTGCCTTTCTCTTTTCATTGTATTTTTTCTGCCCAGACATTGATGAATGCGAGGAGAATAACGGAGGCTGTGACCACTTCTGCCGAAACACTGTGGGCTCCTTTGAGTGCAGCTGCCAAAAAGGCCACAAACTTCTCACAGATGAAAGGACATGCCAAGGTCAGTCGCTCTCACCTGCTAGTGACACAGTTTGACTTTTGTATATCACCAGCTGTGACAAAGTGCTGTGGCATTAGTGAACACAGTGAAGCATGGTAGGAAAATCACTGCAAAATAATTTATAGTATTATTCTGGATATATCATTTCCTGTTCTTTTTGTAAATAAAATTATTGTAATAAATTATGTTACTATTAGTATATTAGCAGTAGTGGCTTATGCATTTGTTTACCAGTCTGATCCTGTGAGAAGAAAAAAGTCTGGAAGGGCATCTGGCGTAAAATCAAACCTTTGTGAATAAGGCAACAACTGAAAGTAGCTTCTGATGCTTCTTCTTCTGTTGTTTTATTATAAATGGCAGGCTAAAAAGTCTGTTGCTTAACTGAAATGAGAGCAATGATATTGTGCAGCACTGTATATAAAGATCATAAAGTCACTTTGACCTCTCGTCAAGTGCAAAGATACAGTGTACTGGAACTACCTCCACTTCCTAAAGTTGTGCTAAGTGTGCTAAGTTAACATGCTACTGGACCTTTTGGCCTTTTGTTATCTCATCTGAACCTGTGGAAAGTTAAATACAAATACTTCCATAAAATCTAAATGTTTCTCAGAATGTAACGAATGTGCTTGTTGCAACAGTGTAGCTGCTTCGTCAGCTGGGCGTCTAGTCAACAGGCCTCCTTAGTGCTCATGCTTATATGACCAAAGGCAGATTCCTGGTTACAAGTCACAGCAAGTGAGACAGGAGGCAGGCAGACACAAAATGATTTTTTTATTAACAATTAAACCTTGAGGTACTTCTGCCCTCAGCCTCAAATTCCCAGGATGGAAAAACTGTGTACGCGGCGTGTTGGAGTAACTCTGCATTGCTTTTGGAGTGTTTAATAGCGTGGTGTTGAGTCCCGTCAGCCACATCACAGCACCACTCTCTACTTCTGACACACCTATGCCACTGTTTCGTGGCTCCGATTAGCTGCCCCGTCTAGCATGTTCAGCCTCAACATAACCTTAAAATGAAATATACTGTTTCATTCGTAAACATCTTCTGTGCTTCTGAGTAATTCCAGAGAAAATAGCTTCTGGTTATGCACTACATGCCAGCTGTAGAGCATTTTCCAGACCTAGCTGAGAAACTTAAGCAGAAAGATTAGTTGTTTGCCACAGCTGTATCATTAGTTTCCACGAATGATTCCCTCCATTCTTACTGTTTATAAAGACGGGATATTGCCAGCACTTAAATAAACATCTAAAATAGCTATCAAAACACCTCATCATCACCAAGGGTGTATCTCACTGAAAAAACGATCACGCTCCAGACATCAGCGCTGCTTCATTCTATCCTAAATCACTATATGCAGCTCCTGTGTTCCCAGCTCGGTTTATTTAAACTCTAAACAGACGAGCTATTCCTACGTCCTGACATGGACGTTTGCCTGGAGTATTTACCGAGCCAACGTCCAGCCCTTAAAAACTTCCTCCATTATAACATGTTGTATTTTTAGCCTCTTTAAAGCCCCACAGAAAAGCCTGAAATAAACCAGGTGAGCCTAAAAAGCTGCCCTCCATTCCTGCTAGGTTAATAATATTTGGCGCAGGAGAAGTACACAAAAACACATACGCAGGCAGTGTAGCAGGCACTCGTGCACACATATTCACACTGATGCAACAGTGAATGTGCCTCAGCTTCATTCCCGGGAAGCTTTATTAGAATAAGTCTTGTCCTAGTTTAGTGTGGGACGCTTGAATCTGTTTACTCTAACGTGCACATTAATGACATGGCCTCTTCAGTACTTGGTGAGCACCCTGAAATGAGTCTTTACCATCAGATTGTTGATAATCTACTCATTCCACTGACCTTTACTTCTATGCAGCAGGAGAGCCTTTGTATTCTCTTAGATCTATTTGACTGAACCTGTCCAGAGATGCACCAGCAGACTTTTGTGAAACTTTTGAAGTGGAAATACTTAATACCCTGAAATATTTGTCATCAGAATACAAATTTGTTTTGGATTTGAACAATCGCAGTCATTCTTCTCCTGAATTGACTGAACATTTGTCACTATCCTTTGTGAATCTCATGTTCTAGTAGCCCCGTGACAGGAAACAAAATGAATATTGTCTAATATTGATGAGAGGGAGGGGTAGATATGACCGGGAACCCAAAGACACCAGGCACACTTACATAGTAGCACCTTGTCAAACCCAAACCCTATAATACACCCTGACTTACCCTAATCGGACCATAATGTACAAAGTCAACATTGTATAAACTGTATTTAACAACACAGACCGCCAACTCATTAGATAAGCTTAGGTCAGTATGAAAGCAGCCGACAGAACAATGCTTTTAGTCTTTACCCTTTGAATGAATATCCAAAATAAAGGACACCATGCTACAAATTTAGGGTCATTTAAGGGCACATCATTTTTTATGAGAAGTGTGTATGAAGGCATATTATAGTGACCAATCATGGGACTAACAGTTAGTATTATCTAGAAGGGAGTCGACACAAGAGACAGACTTAAATTAAAAAGAACTGATTAAACATAAACTAACAAAAACAAACACAAGGCCAACATAGACTGATGTAAAGGGGGAGGATGAGAGAGCAATGCCCGACAGCTGATGGATCTGGTAAGACCCTCCCATGTATGCCAGAGGGGTGGATGCTGGCTCAAAGAACGCATGCCCAGATGGATGGGGAAATGAGTGAATGAAGACATTCTGTATTATTACACTGTAGTATTACTTTGACTCATTTCCTCCTCACCTGTTGTGTCTTTTCGGTCTTTCTCAGACATTGATGAGTGCTCCTTTGAGAGAACCTGTGATCACACATGCATCAACTACCCTGGCAGCTTTGAGTGCTTGTGCAACAAAGGATACATCCTGTACGGCCTGACTCACTGTGGAGGTGAGTGTCAGCTCAGATTTATTTCCCAGAGAAAGAGAAGAATACATGAAACACAACAAGATGATGAAACTGACTTTTTAACACAGTTTTTATCTAGTCTTACACAATCGATAGGATCTGTTCGTTTGTGTAAAGGTGCGAAGAAAAGGAAACATAGAGACAGCAGGTAGAGTTGGAGGTGGCACAGTTGACGGAGCTGGAGTGACCACAATGGACAAGACTGGAAATGAGGATATCAGAGGGGAAACTAGGCCAGGCTGAGATGGTGTAGATATATTGGGCAAAGGGTGTTTAATATAGAGCTGGGAGGCACAGATGCATGGATGCAGTGAAGGAGGATATGTTAGGGATGATCTGCTGTGGCGACCCCTAAAGGGAGCAGCTGAGAGAAGAAGAAAAAGCAACAAGAGAACAAGACCTATGAATGAAGTCCATTTGTGAGTTAGACAAATCACATTTCATTGGAAATTACAGAAATCCCCCAACATCAAAACAATGACAGCAGAAGTGAGTAGCATAAATAATCTGTAACAGGGCCATTTGCCAAGATGTGCAGTGAGCTCTTCAGTATGATGTGTTTACTTGTTGTGATGGTCAAAGATGACAGGCTCTATGGGGTGATCTCAGTGTGCAGTGCTTAGTACTTCCTTTGACCAGTACTAATGCTCGTCAAAGGAAGTACAGCTGGTAAAGTACTGGCAGGGCCGTGGGTGCAGAGGCTCCCTAACGCGTGACACAATAGCTCTAATCTGACAGAAGGCTAAAAACACAATGCTGTGTGTGCTAGAAAGGCATCAAGACACACAGGAAATCCAGCCTGCTGTGTAAGGGCTGTGTCTTATATACTGAAGGTCATGACGATGCATGTACTCTGCTGGTATCACCTGTAAAGGGCATGAACTGAATCACACAGCAATGGAAAAAGGTCATTTAATTTTTGAAAAGATAGCAATATATAATCTGTCCAAGGAGCCTGGATAGAAAAGGTTCTTGAAGACGTTTCACCTCATCCAAGAAGCTTCTGAGAACTAAAGACACAGGAAACATCTAAGCACAGAAGTAAGCTAATAACACTCAAGTGAAAGCAGGAAAAAATAGTGACAACACTGAAGCGCTTTGGTGTTCTGAAGGCAGATGTTTTCACCTTTAGCAGCTTTAGATATCACATGTACCTAAGAGGCAGTTACGCATGTACAGTAGGGAGAGAGGCTAGATTCTCTACAGTTTGAGGCAATGAAAAGACTTGTAAAATGGACAAAGAGTCCTTGAGAAATGTAAAACTTAGTCAAGACTTCGGGTTGATATGTGATTTGGAAAGGAGAACTTTGTAAGTAAATTGTACTCTGTGGGCGGAGTTTAGTGTCTTCTAGGGCCGTTAATCCTAGGGTGCTGGTACATGGCTGGTCTCTACCTTATTTCTCTCTCCTTTCATTTCCACTGCATGATGTCCAATAATACCATCCATCCATCCATTGGCTTCCGCTTGTCCTTTTCAGGGTCGCGGGGGGCGCTGGAGCCTATCCCAGCTGTCATAGGGCGAGAGGCGGGTACACCCTGGACAGGTCGCCAGCAGGGCCTGTCCAATAATACCCTCAAATATAAATAATAAGAGGGAGAGATTTAAAAAACCCAAAGAACACAGAATGAAGCTCCAGGATGAAGTCCATGTATAACTGCTGCTAAATTAACCTGAAACAATAGACAGAGTCTAAAATATGGAAGCCCGTTTCCGCCACTAAAAAAAAAAAAAGGATCCATAACTCAAAATTTCGAGTTATTTTCTCGAAATTTCGACATATTAACTCAAAATTTTGAGAAAAGCAACTCGAAATTTCGAGTTAGCGCTGCCAATCAGTAATCTACGTGAATGACGTCATTTCCATGTTACCCGGAAGCTGAAGCCCTCAGCTACAAATGCTACAGCTAAGCTACCGGTATTACATCCAGTCGTGAATGCACAGATTGCTGAGTGTTTTCAGCCTGGCTTCACAAATGATGAAATCCCTGTGTTATTAGCTGAATCACATGGTGTTACTATCAGCAAACATACTTTAATTTGTTGGGATCCGTTTTTGAGTGCTGCGCCATATGCTTCCGGGTAACAAGAAAGCGACCTCATTCACGTATATTTTTGATTGGCAGAGCTAACTCGAAATTTTGAGAAATGTAACTCGAAATTTCGAGTTATATTTCTCGAAATTTCGAGATAGTAACTCGAAATTTCGAGTTATGGATACTAGTTTTTTTTTTTCCATACTAAAATGACCTTTAATCCGTATTCATCTGCAACCTTTCCTCAAAGAGCACTACGAGTGTTGCATAACTCAATCCATCAATTTTCCTAAGTGTTTATCCAGTTAAGAGTTGTGCTGGGAGTGAGGGGGTGTGGGTGGGGCGCTTGCCTGGAGCCCATCCCAGCTATTATAGGGTGGGAGGTGGGATACACCCTGTACAAATCGCCTCTCCTTCGCGGTGCATAAAATCCATTAGACGTGAAAGCTGAAAAGTGAAATGCCAACGCACGTGCTGTAATCCTGTCTTTGTCTTAGATATCGATGAGTGCAGCATCAACAACGGCAGCTGTGAGTACGGCTGCATAAACACCCAGGGCAGCTACGAGTGTGTGTGTCCACCCGGACAGAAACTCCACTGGAACAAGAAAGATTGCATCGGTAAGCACCAGCCCACACACACCTGTGTGTACATTTGTGAATGTGCGAGGCACGGTGGACAGATCACACAACAGAAGTGATATGACTCTGTACTCCTCAGAGGGAGTGAAATGTCTGCCCAATGGGAAGCCAGCACCGCGAGCCCAGCTAACCTGCATCAAGAGCGGAGGAGCTGAGGTCTGCTCACTGTCCTGCCCCTCCAATGCCCTCTTCCTAGCAGGTGTGCACAAACACACTCATGTTGGCGTCTCATGGCAGAACAGTGCTTCCTATTAATCATATATTTTTCTATTTTTGTCAGTGAACTTTTGGGGCCGTGATGTTCAGATTCGTAAGAGGACGTGTTCTATATGTAGGAGCTTGGTTTTTCGGGTTTTCCTTTTCATCTGTCGACCACAAATGTTTAATGCTGACACAACTTATATTCATGCCTTCATTTTTTTTCAGTCCATTAAATGGTTGTTTGGTGCAAATAAATGTGTAATTGGAATCTGGAATCTGTAAATCTGTAAAGAAACTGATTGAAAAAATGAAGAAAACCCAAAGCAAACCTGCACTGAATATGTATTAAAAACAGGAAGGATCACAAACAAGTTTGCAGAAAGTCAGACAGGAAGGAGAGAGCAATTGTTAACCTGCTGTCAGCTTCATTTGTAGCTTCAAAATGATTAATTGTTAATCTAATCTATAACTAATCCTAAAAACTAAAGATTAATTAACAGTAATTCAATAGAGTTTTATTTATATAGCACAACAGTAAAATCTCTACATTAACATGTTGATTGCCATCGATGGTTTTTTATTCTGTCTCTGTAGCTGTATATTGGAAACAGTCCTTTGTGCTGCTCTGGTGCAGCATGTGTTGCTGCCCTCTGGTGGTCTGTCTGTGCCATTCCCCTCTTGATGAAGCTTGTGCTCTTTAGTGCCATATTTGTGGATTCTTCAGGGGCCTCTGTGCTCAGACTGATGTGTTTTTCACTCTGAGAGGTTTTGTTGGCTTCACCCATCCTTCCTCTTTGCTGGCACCCCAGCCTCTCCTCCTGCAATAGTACTTAACACACATCTGTAAATCGATTGCATTCTTTGATCATGCCAATTTTTCCACAGCATGGCTGTCCCTTCGTTTTACTTGGCAGCTATTGTGTGAGAATGATGGATCGCTCTCAGGCATGAAGTGAAATATTTGTTTTTGTGTCTTTTATGAGTACATCTTAATTTAAGGAGGAATGAGCCATGTAAATTCCTGTGGCTGAAAGGAGCCCGGGCTCTTTTTTAATCCCTCACTTCCCCGTCCAAATGCATCTTTGTCTCTACGTGTATTAACAGAGAAAAGCATGGCTCATAGATCTTTCATCTGGGTCTTCATTTCACAATCAAAGGTCACATTTTTGTTTATACCACTAAACATCTACCAAACTTGTTTTAATAATGCTGACAACTGTGCCTTTGGCCATCCTATGAAACATACAACGGGAGTCCTAACCTGTTCTCATCATCAGGTTTTGGTTTTCTTTGGTCACTTAATCCTGTTCTGCGTTGTTGTTTCTCACAGACTCAGAGAACAGCTACACACTGAGCTGCGGAGTGCCCGTCCAGCCTGGTAAACCTCCTCAGAAGAGGAACGTCACCACGGCTTTACCCGCCTGTGCCGGTACAGTAAACATAATGGGACACAGTAGGTGCAGATCAGTGATGGGATTCTATGCTCCCTGCACATGTACTGACTCTACAAAATATTATTCTGGATTTGCTTCGTCTCCAAATTGTTTTTACACAAATTACTCATTAAATTCTGGTAGCATTTATTATTTTAGCACTTATCTTAATTGCAGGTAGTTAGGAGGCAGTAGCTGGTACATACTGAAAATACAACATCCATCCATAAATACATAATAATCCATCCATAAATAAGCATAATTTACAACTACATGCAAGATTACTAACTGGCCTGAGACCACATTTCTGTTATGTTTTTGTCTCTTCATTGACCTTCCTGTTGAATTTGGAATTTAGCTTAAAATCTTGAATGATCAGGTCCTGTCATATCTCAGTGTATTATACTAACAGAGGAGTTTACTCTGCAGGTTTACTGGTGACTAAAGTTTCCAAAAGTAGAGCGGGAGGCAGAGAGTAACAAAATGAAAGAACAGGATATGTTATGAGTTACCAAATATAAGGAAATGGCTCTAATTAAATGCTGCAGTAAACTGCTGGGGGCTTCCCATGATGCACTGAGCAAGTTCTTCACTTGCCTCTTTTTCACTCTGAGTTTGTTCACACACTTAACCAGACCACAAACAAGCAACTGAGATTATACACACAACAAATGTGCAACAAATAGCAAATGAGCAGTTATGTGATGGCTGTAGCGTCCTATAAATGATCAAATAAAGAGTTGATTTGTAAAGTGATCTTGAGGTAACAGCTTATGTTGTTCTGTATGAATAGACACGTTGGCACCACCCATCAAGCAGAAGGCCAGGTTTAAGATCAAAGATGCCAAGTGTCACCTGAAGCCCCGCAACAAGGAGAAACACCGAGACGTATCCAAGCAGAACATCCAAGGTAATGAACTGTCATATTTAAACAGCAGCATCTGGCACTGATATTATACTGGCGTTTATAGCCCACTCTAAATTTGATCTTCTTCACTGTTTTTGGTTGCCTGAAAGGAGGCCAGTTCCCCTGCACCGATGACTGCCAGGTAACGTTTGTCAACCTCAAGTGTGACTCATCTAAGAAGCGCCGGCGAGGACGCAAATCTCCTTCAAAGGAGGTTTCACACATTACCGCTGAGTTTGAGATGGAGATGAAGGAGGAAGATGCCTCAGGTGTGGTGATCCTTCTTAACTCTGCTTTAAATACAATCGACACAAAAACATTAAATCTACAGAGAAATCAAATATTTATGATCGAAATTTATACCCGGACATTAAAAATGGACAAATGTGGTCTGAATGTTGTTTCCTCAGAGTCGTGTAACGTGGACTGTGTGCGGGAGAGAATGAAGCAGAGGCTGCAGAGCGCCATGAGGACACTCAGAAAGTCCATCACCAAACAGCAGTTCTACATCCAGTTCTCTGGGACCGAATATGAAGTGGCCCAGAAGCCTCCTAAGGCGGCAGAGGGTGCTGAGACCTGCAGCACAGGACAAGTCCTCAGAGATGGAAAGTGTGGTATGTTTGCAGCTGAAAGAGTTGACTGGGTGTTACTGTTTCATCAGGACCTATCGATCTAACTTGTGTATTTCTTCTCAGTGAGCTGTGGTGTGGGGACATTTTATAGTGGGGAGCAAGAGCAGTGTGTCCAGTGTCCACCTGGTACATACCAGGACACAGTGGGACAACTTTCCTGTGAGCCATGTCCCAGTACTGAAGGACAGGGAATCGCTGGTGCCAAGAATGTATCCCAGTGTGGAGGTAATTCCCTATCCCATTTTTTCCTCACTAATACTGAGATTGTTTCCATTTTATAATGAAAATCTGGATATTAATATTAATGTTGTAGAAAGAAGAAATGAAAACCAAAAAGAAAGTTTCTCCTCTATCATCCCCTCAGGTCAGTGTCCAGTCGGTCACTTTTCTGATGATGGGTTCCGCCCATGCCAGCCCTGCGCGCTGGGCTTCTACCAGCCAGAACCAGGCCGTGTCCTGTGCTTCCCCTGTGGAGGAGGCCTCATGACCAAGTATGAAGGATCTGTGTCCTTCAGGGACTGTGAGGCCAGAGGTGTGTCTTTTGTTCTTTTTGTGGTTTATTTTGAAGATACTTGTCAGAATTGCTTTTATAGTGCAAGTTCAGTTCATATAATACACAACAATAAACAACACAATTAAAATAGAAGTGCCAGAGGCGACCAGTAAGGACGGAGTTCCCTGACAGTGTGCCAGAAACATTTGATCAAAGTCTTGTTTCACGACTTTACCAAACTTCTTTGTGCTTCAGCCACTGTCCTAAACCCTGCGGCCAGCTGCCGCTGGTTTGATGGCTGTCTTATTGTTAGATGTGTGGAGAGATTGTTGGTTGTTGTCATGTATTCAGGTTTTGCGCCACGGACCGGTTTATGCCCGACAATATTTTCACGGACCGGCCCTTAAGGTGTCGCGGATAAATACAACAAAATAAAACTAGTACCGGTACCGAAAAAAAGAAGATTTATTCATAACACACGTGGAAAGACCCAGGAAAACCGAGTTAACGATACAAACGATAACAAAATAACGCTGGAAACCGATAAAAACCCTGAAAACCATAAATTTCACACCTGAGCCTCAACTCTCGCGGCCCGGTACCAAACGACTCACGGACCGGGACCGGTCCGAGGCCCGGGGGTTGGGGACCGCTGCTCTAGAGGATGAAAACCACTATTTTGTTTGTTTGTTTCCTTTTAATAAGACTTATGCTGAACTTCTTGTGTTTAAGACAAAATATCTGGAAAATTTCCCGATGCTAGCAAATGAGAATATTAATGATGTGTTTAGCTGATTCACACTGATTACTGTGGCTCGTTCTCTTAATGTTTGGTTACGTTTGATCGAATCTGTGATAAACACTATCATAAAGGAGCGCATTGTCTGAATGACACAATGCTGCCACTTTAATGGGTTAATAAAGCCACATGACTAAGGGGCCATAAAGTAGTGCTCAGATGTGTTGAGATGGAACTTGGTGCAAACTGATTTTGTTTAGTGAGTGTGCGGTTCAGTGTTTTCTTGGTGTGTCTGCTCTTTAATAGAGTTGTACTGTGTGCACACTTACCCCTTACCTTTCCTCAGTGCACTGTGCTCCCGGGCATTACTACAACTCCAGTACCCACCGCTGCATCCGGTGCCCAGCAGGCACCTACCAGTCAGAATCCAGCCAGAACTACTGCATCACCTGCCCGGGCAACACCACCACCGACTTCGATGGTGCTACCAACGTCTCCCAGTGCAAAAGTAAAGCTGCCCACTATTACCCATTGTGGTTGATAATGAGAAGTATATCACAATATTGTTGGCATTGGTTGAAATACTCCAAAGGGTTTCTACAATTTTGTCCTTAGACCAGGTGTGCGGAGGGGAGCTGGGAGAGTACACAGGCTACATTGAGTCTCCTAACTACCCTGGAGATTACCCATCCAACGTGGACTGTGTGTGGATGATAAATCCACCACACAAGAGACGCATCCTCATTGTGGTGCCAGAGATTTTCCTCCCCATTGAGGATGAATGTGGAGACGTGCTGGTCATGAGGAAGAGCGGTAAACAGAAATATGAGTGTACAGAACTGATGAACTCGCTGACTTCACGTTTCTTTAAATGAAGATGCAAAAGTGTGCCTGCTTGTGTTTGTTGCACAGTGGTAGGGTTGGCAGTGCCTGTAAGAAAGTATATGGCACTGTGGTTCTTTCCTAAATGCTTACCTGTGAACAGTGACTTTAATGACGCTGCCATGACATGCACATGTGTCCAGTGGCACAGTATGTCATGCTGTCACACCTGAACTGTTTATCATTCATTTCAGACTGGACCGATTTAAAGATCAGCTTTTTTTCTAGAGCTTTAGGTCATTCCACATGCTCCAAGAAAAACAAGCTCTAGAAGATTCTAACTGTGCTGTGTGCTGTGCCTTCAGCCCACCCCACCTCCATCACCACTTACGAGACGTGTCAGACCTACGAGCGACCCATCGCCTTCACCTCCCGCTCCCGTAAGCTCTGGATCCAGTTCAAGTCCAACGAGGGGAACAGCGGCAAAGGCTTCCAAGTTCCATACGTCACCTACGATGGTGAGTCAGCTTCATCGCAGTTCAGCGACAGCCAACCTTAAACAATCTTACAGCTTTTTATTTCACTGCGTTGCGTATTTTCACCCACTGATTTAACCCTGTTATGCTGCAGAGGACTACCAGCAGCTGATAGAAGACATCGTGCGGGATGGCAGGCTATACGCCTCTGAGAATCACCAGGAGATTCTCAAGGTATGCATGTAATGTGATCATATTACCAGCTGATCTTTGTTCCAAGGTCACACTAACATATAAGGTAAAAGAAAAAAGTCATCACCTCATAAGATGGGTCCAGTATGCTGACAGTCTTTGTATCTTTATTCTCCCCACAGGACAAGAAGCTGATAAAAGCCCTATTTGATGTGCTGGCTCACCCCCAGAACTATTTCAAGTACACAGCAGCAGAGTCCAAAGAGATGTTCCCTCGTTCTTTCATCAAGCTGCTGCGCTCCAAAGTCTCCAGGTTCCTACGACCATACAAATAGACAGGCCCGTCTGCGGTCCTGGTCAACAACCCTGACATCCTGCATCATTCCAAATCCAGCAAACTAAATGTAACCCAAACCCCCATCCCACTTCTGCCCTGCCTCTGTCTATTCATCCATGTATATTTGAGCTTTCTAACTCGTAAGACATCACTAACAATGGAGCTTTCTGTACAAGGTTTGACCGATAGAGGTTTTTGAAGGCCAGTATTTATATTTTTATACTGTATATTGTATTGATATATTCTTTCTTAAATTTGGAGATTTTGCACTGAACTGTTAATTACCACAGGCATGCTATCTGAGTAAGGGTTTATCTGGCAGTAACAATGAATACATATTTTTCAGCAGAAACAGTACAGTAACTATGGTAATTTACTAATTTAGTAAAATCATCTGGCAAATATTTCCTTCCTCTGAATGTTTTATAGAATGTATATAAAGTGCAGCGAAACAGCAGTGTCCCAACCTGTAGGTAATGGTACATCCCACATGTCAGTTTGTTTCATCTGCGGGAGACCCCCATGCCCACCGCCAAAAAACTGAAATATTATGCGCAGCTTTGTGGAAGAAAGACGACTCGGTCTATCGACTAGTCTTTCCTAGTCTGTCAGTGCTAGGCTAACCAGCCGTAATCCATTCCTCCACTGTATTCTGCTTACAACATGACCTTTTCCATCTTTGTACTGTTTTATAGTCTAGCTGATCAGGCGTAAAAAGACTTGCAACTGTACGTCTCTCGCTAAGAGTTAGACTAAAGCCCGAATGCAGAACCCTGTGAAGGTGCAAGGGTGTTATTCCCTGTCAGACTACTTCAAATACAAAATCCTACAAGGTTATGAGAACATAACCAACACAGGCAAACATGTTGCCTACTGCAGCTTTAACAAAACCTCATCTTCTCATCCAACTCAAAAACAAAGCAAATTTATCAACATGTTGTTTAAAACATGCACATTAAAAAACTCTAAAGTCATCTAAAAGTCTGAATCCGCATGCTATTACACAGCAGCACTTAACAAAAGGCCAGCATCAGCTACCCAATATATCGGTCAAACTCTGTTTCTTCTTTTCTCACAGTCATTTCCCATTGTTTGCACATTCTCTAACAACTGTATTCTACAGTCTTCCTATTTGCTTTCTGTGTTGTTATGTCCTTTTTTAATATTTATACTGAACATTTTGGAACTTGCAGAGGGGCGCGCAGATGTTTTAAAAATGATCTGCGAACAAGCGTGTGGACATACACAGGTGCCCACGCAGAGCACAGCCTGAACTGGATTTCTTTATTGGCCCTGTCGTGCACAAGACAGAGATGAGAAAACAATCAGTGCACTTAAATCAGAAATGTTAAAGTGGTGACATCTAAATCCTTCCACTCCAGTGATGCTTTATCCACTGGGGAAAGATTAAATTGGGCAAATTGCAAAATCTACATTGTAATTTTGAGATGAGATAAAACTACCTGCAAGTAACAGATTGTTACGTTATAGAGAAATGTACCTGGTGTAACTAGTATTTGGAACTTTCATTGCACTTGAATTTTATATTTTAAACTGTAGGGGAAAGGATCTAAGTTACATGTTTTGTTACCTTCTTGTGTTATGTGCCTGGTGTGGTGGTGATAGGAAAAAGAAGCAGCTGTGTCTCCTGTTATTGCTTCCACTCTGTAGCTTGCAGTTACCCTCAAATTTGTCTGAATAACACACACACACACACACACACACACACACACACACACACACACACACACACACACACACACACACACACACACACACA